AAAGGAAATTCAATTGTTTTAAAGCTCAACTTCCAACAGAAAGAAAAGACCACTTCTTAATACAAGCATGTACAGTGGGGCAAAAAAAGTATTTAGTCAGCCACCAGCAAGTTCTCCACTTAAAAAGATGAGAGAGGCCTGTAATTGGCATCATAGGTAGACCTCAACTATGAGAGACAAAATGAGAAAAACAAATCCAGACAATCACATTGGCCGATTTGGAAAGAATTTATTTGCAAATTATGGTGGAAAATAAGTATTTGGTCATCTACAAACAAGCAAGATTTCTGGCTCTCACAGACCTGTACCTTCTTCTTTAAGAGGCTCCTCTGTCCTGCACTCATTACCTGTATCATTGGCACCTGTTTGGCTGATTTGGAAAGAATTTATTTGCAAATTATGGTGGAAAATAAGTATTTGGTCAATATCAAAAGTTCATCTCAATACTTTGTTATATATCCTTTGTTGGCAATGACAGAGGTCAGATGTTTCCTGTAAGTCTTCCCAAGGTTGGCACACACTGTTGCTGGTATGTTGGCCCATTCCTCCATGCAGATCTCCTCTAGAGCAGTGATGTTTTGGGGCTGTCGCTGGGCAACACGGACTTTCAACTCCCTCCAAAGGTTTTCTATGGGTTGAGATCTGGAGACTGGCTAGGCCACTCCAGGACCTTGAAATGCTTCTTACGAAGCCACTCCTTCGTTGCCCGAGAAAAAAAAAAAAAAAAAAGCATTATGTTTGGGATCATTGTCAAGTTGGAAGACCCAGCCACGTTTCATCTTCAATGTCCTTGCTGATAGAAGGAGGTTTGCCCTCAAAATCTCACAATACATGGCCCCATTCATTCTGTCCTGTACATGGATCAGTCGTCCTGGTCCCTTTGCGGAGAAACAGCCCCAAAGCATGATGTTGCCACCCCCATGCTTCACAGTAGGTATGGTGTTCTTTGGATGCAACTCAGCATTCTCTCTCCTCCAAGCACGACGAGTTGTGTTTCTACCAAACAGTTCTATTTTGGTTTCATCTGACCATATGACATTCTCCCAATCCTCTTCTGGATCATCCAAATGCTCTCTAGCAAACTTCAGACGGGCCCGGGCATGTACTGGCTTAAGCAGGGGGACACGTCTGGCACTGCAGGATCTGAGTCCCTGGCGGCGTAGTGTGTTACTGATGGTAGGCTTTGTTACATTGGTCCCAGCTCTCTGCAGGTCATTCACTAGGTCTCCCGTGTGGTCCTGGGATTTTTTCTCACCGTTCTTGTCATCATTTTGACCCCACGGGGTGAGATCTTGCGTGGAGCCCCAGATCGAGGGAGATTATTAGTGTCTTGTATGTCTTCCATTTTCTAATTATTGCTCCCACAGTTGATTTGTTCACACCAAGCTGCTTGCTTATTGCAGATTCAGTCTTCCCAGAATGGTGCAGGTCTACAACTTTGTTTCTGGTGTCCTTCGACAGCTCTTTGGTCTCCACCATAGTGGAGTTTGGAGTGTGACTGTTTGAGGTTGTGGACAGGTGTCTTTTATACTGATAACAAGTTCAAACAGGTGCCATTGATACAGGTAATGAGTGCAGGACAGAGGAGCCTCTTAAAGAAGAAGGTACAGGTCTGTGAGAGCCAGAAATCTTGCTTGTTTGTAGGTGACCAAATACTTATTTTCCACCATAATTTGCAAATAAATTCTTTCCAAATCAGCCAATGTGATTGTCTGGATTTTTTTTCTCATTTTGTCTCTCATAGTTGAGGTCTACCTATGATGCCAATTACAGGTCTCTCTCATCTTTTTAAGTGGGAGAACTTGCACAATTGGTGGCTGACTAAATACTTTTTTGCCCCACTGTATGCCCTAAAACTAATAAAATTAACTTTTCAGTAGAGGCAGTACAAGTGTCTGAACCTGAAGTCATACTTGTCTTCTGTGGTTCAATGCTCAGTATCTTGCAGATAGAAGATGAGAGCAGAGCAAGGCCTTTATTAGTGAGGAGTGACCCTTCACTGTCCAATCAGTATGCAGTGGGGTGGTTGGTAACCAAGCTGTATTCATTAACAGCAGCAGAGAAAATGGAAGTCATCAACCTGGCCATGTAATATAGTCAGGATGTCTAGTTCATGAGTCTGGCTGAACAGAATGACAGGTAAAACAGCCTACTATATAATACACTTGTAAATAGCTATTTACCTAGAATTCAGCTTAGGGCATGGTGTGTTAGCATAAATAAAACCGTATATAACATCTACAATTTTTATTTACCTGCGGGAAATGGAAGACGCCAGTTATCTGGGCAACAGGAATAGATAAGAAGGAATAATTGTCGCCTATAATCCCAACCATGGCTGAAGGTGCATGACAGCTATATCCGGGAAAGGGGCTTTCAAGTCCCGACATCAGGGACAGAACTCCTCCCACAGCCCGGAGTTCTGACATACAGGAATCCAGCACACTGAAGCCAAGGGTGATGTTAGGCAGGAGGTCTGGAGAATTGTTAATTTCATCCACTGCAGACTTCAGGCCCAGAACATCCCGTAATATCGAATGTGGAACCTACACAAGATCAGAGAACATCAAGACATCAGCTAGCAGTACTCATGGCCATTGTTCCTCTCATCTTTGTCCCCATCTGGTTTTTAAAAAATATGTGTGAAAGATGAAATACAGATGCAGAGAAGATGAAGATTCCATAAAACACTGTTGGTCACTGGCTTTTTTTTTTTTTAATATTTATATATTTATTACATTTTCCAGGTTATGTGAATATCAACATCATCAACACAGAAGGTCAGCAGGAGACCTGTAGAAAACTTTATCTAAGCTATTCAAAGTAGGCAATTGATCAATTAAAGGACATGCCCTAATAAGCGGGCATAGAATGTTATACAAAAATAAATAAATATAAACAAATATATATATATATATATATATATATATATATATATATATATATATGGCATTCAAGTCAAACCAGGACCATTTACAGGTATAGAAAGGATGCTAGTGTGGCGGAACTACACACATTAGTAAGTGGGAGTCAGTTGTTGCTGGGAAGGATCTACTGTTGAGAGAGAGATCTACTGTTCTTGGCTGCTGTAGGGTCTATCAATGCTGTTTGCTGGTAGATCTATTGTTGCTATTGGGAGTTTATTGTTGCTGGGGTGGATCTATTTTTGCTGGGGGGTATTTGTTTCCAGTGAGGGTCTATTGTTGCTGGGGAGATCTATTGTTGAAAGGAGGTGTACTGTTGCTGGCTGCAGAGAATCTATTATCATTAACAAATTACTTAGCGGCACAAAATGATACTTGGTCCTGAATTCTCTAAAAGGGGCAGTTCTGGAAGGTGGGTAGGAGGTGGAGCCAAAGGACCATGCTTGGAGGTGGGTAGGGGGCAGAGAATAAAGGCAAGGAAGACAGTTAGCTAGAGTTCTGGGATGGTGGTTTAAGGCCAAATTCTGAGCTATCCCACACATCCCAAATCTTGGTAAATTGAGGAACTCACTGGCTTTATAACACAGGCAAGACTCCCAAAAAATTACCAAAAATAAGGTAATTTTATAAAGATATCCTCTTATTAAAATTCCATACCTACAAGACATTTATCTATGAAGAAGAACAAAAAACAGGGCACACTCTTCGTTCATTACCTTGGTGAAACACGTGTTTATTAAAATACTAAAAGTGCATACACACAAACCTAGGAGATATAAAAACAGAGACAGAGAGCCAGTGGGATCGCTCCCAAATTCCAGACGACCCTGGATGTTGCTAACTGACGCGTTTTGGGAGACGTACTCCCTTCTTCAGAGCTCTTTCTCTGTATAAAAAGGAGGTGGTGGCAGTGTGAAGGGTTAATTGCGTAATTAACCTGACCCAGTAACAATCGCTCAGGCTGCCGGTACATCGATCTGTGGTCCATTAGCTGGAAAATCGTTGTGCAGGGTGCAGCTGGGTGTGGCATTGTTAAGCACGTCACATCGCGGTTTTATATTGGCTAGTCATTTGGTCACGAGTTTGGTGAGAAGGTCTGGGGTCTGGCGCCGCGATCATGATTGTGACGTAACTCTTGTTTCATCACGGTAATGCACGAAGTGAGTGCGCCCTGTTTTTTTTGTTTTTGTTGAAGGTTTCCCGATCTTCCAATCTTCCAAGGGCTGCACCTCAGAGAATGACAGTTACAATACGCCCAGTCAGCATGAAGATTTGAGTGCTGGTTTAATTTTTTCCAAGACATTTATCTATTGACATCGAACAACAAAAGTTCTATTTTTATTGCAATATACATGTAATATAAGTGCTGTGAAAAAATATTTGCCCCCTTCCTGATCATTTTTTTTTGCATACCTAAATTAAAAAATGTGATCTTGAAATTAAACTGACTCGATATTTATTTCACCAGATTTTGTATCTTATGATGTGGTTAAATCTACTTTTTTTTTACAGTTAATTACCTAGTAAAAAAGAATGTCCTTTAAAGCCCCAATCTTAATGAATATTATTATTATTATTATACAAGATTTATATGGTGCCAACAATTTCAACAGCGCTTTAAAAAATTAAGGTAGCCATTATAGTTACAATACAATTTGGTACAGGGGGAAACAGAGGGCCCTGATCGTTAGAGCTTACAATCTAAGAGGAAGGGTTGAGCAATACAAAAGGTAATGGCCGTGGGGGGGATGGGCTGATGGAGGAAATAAAAGGCAGTTTACTAGTTAGAAGCAGGATAGGCTTCAATAAAGAGAGAGGTTTTCAGGGATTGTCTAAAAGTGGATAGATTAGGAGATAGCCGGACAGTTTGGGGTAGGGAGTTCCATAGGATGGGAGAAGCTTGGGAGAGGCGATCATGGGAGGAGGTGACACAGGAACTAGAGAGCAGAAGGTCTTGAGTGGATTGAAGAGAGCAGTTTAGTTGATATTTTGGGACCAGGTTGGTGATGTGGCTGGGGGCAGAGTTGTGGATGGCTTTCTAAGTTGTTAGTATTTTGAATTTTATTCTTTGGGGCGAGTGGAAGCCAGTGGAGGGATTGGCAGAGAGAGGTTGAGGACACTGAGTGAAAGCCAGTGGAGGGATTGGCAGAGAGGGGTGGAGGACACTGAGTGGAAGCCAGTGGAAGGATTGGCAGAGAGGGGTGGAGGACACTGAGTGGAAGCCAGTGGAAGGATTGGCAGAGAGAGGTGGAGGACACTGAGTGGAAGCCAGTGGAGGGATTGGCAGAGAGGGGTGGAGGACACTGAGTGGAAGCCAGTGGAGGGGATTGGCAGAGAGGGGTAGCAGACGCTGAACAGTTGGTAAGATGGATAAGCCTGGCAGTAGTATTCATGATGGACTGGAGGGGGTAAAGGTAAGCCATCGAGGAATGATTTGCAGTAGTCGAGGCGAGAGATAACCAGGGAGTGAATTAGGAGCTTTGTGGTATCATTGGTTAAGAAGGGGTGTATTCTGGAGATGTTGCGGAGGTTGAGGTGTCATGATTTGGACAGGGATTGGATGTGGGCCTGAAAGGATAGTTCAAAATCTAGGGTTACACCTAGCACCTTGGCATGCAGGGATGGGTTGATAGTGGTGTTATTGGTCCTGACCAAGAAATCAGGGGAAGAGACATGTGGGGAGGAAATATTATGATCTCAGTTTTGGATAGATTGAGTTTTAGGAAGTGGTGTGACATCCAGTCTGATATGTCTGTTAGTAAATCAGTGATACTTGAGGAAACGGATGTGGTGAGCTGAGGAGTAGAGAGATAGATTTGTGTGTCATCAGCATAGAAATGGTATTGGAAACCATGGGAAGCTATCAGCTAACCCAAGGAAGAAGTGTAGATGGAGAATAGGAGAGGTCCAAGGACAGAACCTTGAGGGACCCCGACAGTAAGAGGTGTAGGAGAGGAGGAAGTAGAGTTGTAAATGACACTGAAGGTGCGGTGAGATAGGTAAGATTTGAACCAACGGAGAGTACAGTCAAGGACACCAAGTAAATAGAGTTTTTGAGGAGGAGGAGGGGGTGGTCAACTGTGTCAAAGGCAGCAGAGAGGTCCAAGAATACAGAATAGTGACCGTTGGTTTTAGCGGTTAGTAAGTCATTTGTGAGTTTTAGGAGAGCAGTTTCTGTGGGTTACATATAACATATATGTATTTTAAAAATAGCATTGATATGTTGACTAACAACTTTCTAGAACCTTACTAACTTAGGACCCATTCCACTTTGAGATAATCTTTTAATGAAGATACTTTCCCTATGAAAATAGAGCTGTGTGGAGTCTACGTTTTTGGATATTTTATTTGGTGGAGGTAATATATTAAGTATACTAAATGTGGTAATTGTACGCCACCCATTTAAGCAACACTGCTGTAATTAAAATGTTGAAATTGGTAAATATAAATTACATTATATTATAAATGAAAATGCAGGAATTAAAATGTTCATATATTATGTTATAAATGTATTATTAAATGTTAAATATTTTATCAGGAATTAAAATTGTAAATAAAAATGATGTTACAGTATACAATACCATGCTCGGATACTATATTATAAATTAAAATGTTAAACCTAATTTTCAAATGTTAAAATTTAAATTTACAATAAAATATTTACATTTATTAATAACTTAATTATTATTAATAATTTGTATGTATAACATTATATTAATTGAAATTTACCATTTCAGCATTTTAATTTATAAATTTCAATTAATATAATGTTATACATACAAATTATTAATAATAATTAAGTTATTAATAAATGTAACTATTTTATTGTAAATTAAAATGTCAACATATTATGTTATAAATTAACATACTGCAACAAATTGGGAAGGTGGCAAACAGATATGAAATAAAATGATCCCTCGGGTCTGCAAAGCCAGCTGCTGTCAAAGATTACTTCATATTTTTACTACTTTTAATGTAAATAACACCTGATGCAGATTTTAAACAGTTTTTAATTTACAAGGTGTGTGAATACCTTACTACACTGATAGTTTTATATTTGCAAGTAGACATTGCATCCCTGCTAAATCTCTTCTTCTCAAGGGTGAACAGTTTCCAGTTTGCCAATATATTAAAAAATGACATAACAACATAATATGAATGTGGTAGAAAATGAGAAAACAAAGAAACAAACAAAAAAAAATCTGCAACTATGAAAAATTGCTTACAACAAGATATTAAATTGAACCTCCCTGGCGGTCTGATAATGTCAATATTTTTGAGTCTAGTAAACATCCCGGGTAGGATAAAGTTTGAAATATGAAATCATAAATTAAAATATAATAAATAAATTTAAAAAATAATAATATAATAATATTAAATTTAATTCAATAATGTAATAAAACCAAAAACACTAAAATTTAAAATAGAGCACCAAGTTCGCACATCACTGAGGTCAATTGCAGAATCTTTTTCAGTGTCTGATGAGGAATTTCCCCACAAATTACTATCGCTCAATTCTGCAAGTAGTTTTAATTTTCTATCGCTGTTCTCTAGCTGGTCTAAAACTGCTTTTGACCTAAAGGGGCGGTTTCTGGATGCCGTGGACGTTCTCACGTGTCCAGTCAGAAAAAAAAAAACAGAAAAGTGCAGGCAGGGCACTGGACAAAGCAGAGAAGGGAACCTGGAAAATGGATGCCGGCATTGGCCAGAGGACACAGCGGTAGGACATCAGCCGGAGGACACAGTGGGAGGACATTCGCAGGAGGACACAGCGGTAGGACATTGGCTGGAAGACACAACGGGAGGACATCAGCCGGAGGACACAGCGGTAGGACATCAGCTGGAGGACACAGTGGGAAGGACATTGGCAGGAGGACACAGCGGCAGGACATTGGCAGGAGGACACAGCGGTAGGACATTGGCTGGAGGACACAGCGGGAGGACATTGGCTGGAGGACACAGCGGGAGGACATCGGCCGGAGGACACAGATTTAGGACATCAGCTGGAGGACACAGTGGGAGGACATCAGCTGGAAGGCACAGCATTAGGACATCAGCCAGAGGACACAGCGTTAGGACACTGGCCGGAGGACACTGGCCGGAGGACACAACGGTAGAACATCGGAGAATCGCAGGACAAAGTAAGTTACACTACAGTGTAGTCCCGAGTGTGGCCCATCAGTTCTGCCTTTCAGTGCCCATTAGTGATGCCTGTCAATGCCCATCGGTGCCGTCTATTATTATTATTATTATACAGTAATTACATAACACCAATAGTTTGCTCAACGCTGTACATTATAATGGGAGACAGTATAGGAGACAGTACAGTAACAATACAATACACGAGGGATTTGAGGGCCCTGCTCCTTGGAGCTTACAATCTAGGAGGGAGGTCTACCAGTGCCTCCTCATCAGTGCAGTCTATTAGTACCCATCAGTGCCGCCTATCAGTGCAAATCAATACCACCTATCAGTGCCAGTCAGTGCTACATATCAGTGCCCATCAGTCCCACCTATCAGTGCCAGTCAGATCTCCTTATCAGTGCCCTTCAGTGCCGCCCTATCAGTGCCACATATCAGTGCTGCCTTTCAGTGCCCATCAATGATGCCCGTCAGTACCCATCAGTGCCATCTATCAATGCTGTCTATCAGTGCAGCCTATCAGTGCCTATCAGTGCCGCCTATCAGTGCAACCTCATCAATGAAGGAGAAAAATTACATATTTACAAAATTGTATAAAACAGACAAAATAGTGTCTTTTTTTAGTTTGTTTAGTAAAAAATAAAAATTGTGAATAAATACCACCAAAAGAAAGCTCTACAAAAAAATGATAAAAAAATTTAGTTTGAGTAAAGCGTTGTATGACCCAGGTGTGGACTAACAACTCATGGGGCCCCCTGGGCAATAGGGGATCATGGGGCCCCTGTGTCCTTGCCCAAACTCAAAAAAGCCTATGGAAAAGGTACCAGGGGCTTCTCATGGGGCCCCCTACTGACCCCGGGCCCCCGGGAAGTGCCCGAGTTTCCAAATGGTCAGTCAGCCCCTGGTATGACCGCGCAATTGTCATTCAAAGTGTGAGAGCGCTGAAAGCTGAAAATTGGCCTGGGCAGGAAGGGGTGAAAGTGGCCATTAGGCAAGTGGCTAAGCATTCAATAGATGTAAAGCGCTGTGTAAATGGACGGCACTATAAAATACCTGTAATAAAAAAAAAAATTAAATAGATAAGGGCAATGTGTCTGCTTCTGGGGATAGCACAGAATAAGACTGATTGATAAAGACGTAGTAATTTTTTAAGAATTAGTGGGTGGAGAAAAAATATCTGCATACTCCGAGCTCAGGTAAGGCCAAATCCACCAAGTCCCTTCACAGAACTGGAAACACATACATGGTAATTTTGAGGTATACTGGCCTTTCTTGCCATTGCTGCTCTCCTTGTTTTCTGAATACAGTTCCTCTATGGCTTTGGGTGGGTAAGAGTATAATCAGTTAGTGTTTTGCTTCTTTACTACTAATACTTGTTCATGGATGATGAATTTCTGATTTATAAAATCAATAAGAATGATAAAAAAAACTTGCCTTGAAAACTACAAATGTGGGCCAGTCAAATAACTGTATGTAACAATTCATCTCCCCCGACCTCTCCATCTTTTTTTTTTCATTTTTATTTTATTTGTTATTTATTTATTATTTATTTGTTACCATTGATTTATTTCTTTATTTATTATTTCTGTATTTGTTATTTATTTATTATTATTATTATTATTATTAATAATAATTTATTTGTTTGTTATTATTTATTATTATTTTTTAATTTATTTATTTGACACATTTGAGATTTGTACATGATGCTTTTATCATTTTCACAGTTCATTTTTAAGAACAGCCTTTTGGGAAATCAACTGCCTTACTCGGGTCCAAGCAGTACTGTTTAACAAACAGGCAAATTCAACCCACGGTCAGACAAAGTGGCCCCATTCAACCAATTCAGCTCCTCCGGGGGTAGTGCTACATTAATAAAAAAATAAATAACAATTTAACTATTAAGATCATCATTAAGATGATGTGGTCATCACAGAGGACAAGGGGACGCTCTTTACGTCTGGAGGAAAATAAATTTAATCTCCAAACACGGAAAGGTTTTGCACACAAAAATGTGGAATAGACTCCCTCAAGAGTTGGTTGTGGCCAGCTCAGTGGATTGCTGTAGGAAAGTCCTGGATTATTTCTTGGATACACAGAATATAACTGGATACTAACATTTATAGGTAAAGTTGATCCAGGGAATATCTGATTGCCTCTCGGGGGATCAGGAAGGAATTTTTTCCCAGCAGGAGCAAATTGGATCATGCTTTGCTGTTTTTTTTTTTTGCCTTCCTCTGGATCAACCGTGGGTGTAGGATTATCATTTTTTTTTTTTTTTTTTTAATGGTTGAACTGGATGGTCTTTTGTCTTTTTTCAGACAGACTAAGTATGTAAGATAACAAT